TGTTTTTGGTCCCAACTCCTTATAGCAATTTGTAACATGAACAGTTAAGAGTTCTTTTTTCTTTCTGTTTTTTTGTTTACTATACTATAAAGTATCCATATCATAAACATAAGTCACGTATTATCTAAAGGCTCTATGTTAGCTACAAAAGATCGTGTCTTTAATTTTATCTACATATATATATATTTGTATTATTTGACTCTCAGCTCAATGGATGATTCTATTTCTCTTGAGTAATGTTTATAAGAAGAAAATATATTGCAGTGATATTTAAGAAAACAAAAAAGGGATGATCTAATTTAATTGGACAGAATGTGAATGGAATGAGTATATGTATGGTAAACTATGAGTGTAGAAATTATAATAGGGTTAATCGTTCAATAAACAGATTATTTTTTATATAAATTTATATAAATTTAACATTGTATTTGAGTGAAAATTACAAATTAATTTATTGAATTTTGTATCAGGAGAAAATATACTTAGGAATTTTTAATAAATGGGATTTAATTGAGCCGAAGTAATTTTTTTGACAACCGATTATCTAGCTTTTGGAATCTACTGGATTACATTTCCAAAACGTGTTCAAAGAAAAATTGTTGTATTCAGCAAAAATTTTATTCGATATTCTATATGATTGTGTTTGAACGTTCCATAGCTGTTAATAAATTTCTTATATGCATAGGAATTCGTTGGGTGCTTAAGTGATTTCCAAGAAGAATTTTGTGTTCAAATTTACTATATTACTCTCAAATTTACAGATTTTCCGAATACATTTCATTTGTAAACCATTCGAACTAAATTTCTAAACACGAAGGTGTAATTTCAACTCCATGACTGCTATTGCCTTATCATTCATACGAAATATATGCACACACGAACATTGTAAATTACATAAATTGTAGTACAGATTATACTTATTTACTATAGCCAATTTTCGTCTCTTTAAGGCGACCTTCAATATAAAATTTCACATTACAAATATTATTGTTGCTATCTTAAACAAATTATGTAAGAAATGAGATTGTAAAAATTCTGTTCTTAAATTTAATCATCTCATATTCTCAAATACTATTTGATCTTTGTTATTGGTACATAAAAGTTGAAAAGAGACTAAAAGAGAAGATACTTTAAAGATTTGAACAACAAGATTAATTTTCTATAATATTTTACAGTCAAAATACCCAACCATATACACACACACTCTGCGAAGGAAAGGGAAAGAAGTAAAAATAAAGAAAATTAAATAAAAGAATTGAGAGTTAGAAAATAAGAAGATGTTATAAGGGTATATGCGATTACAATATTAAGTGGAAGGGGTGAAGGTAATATTATAGAAGTTGTACATGTTCAGTACAAACATTCGATACAAGTAGACAAATGGTATCAATTTGGAATGAAATAAGAAACAATAAAATATTATAAAAGGGAAGAATACAAAACTACAAAGAATTCTTGACATATTAACTTTAATATTGTATTTGTCTTATTTCTTCTGCTACGTATTTATTTTTTACACACATAGTGAAAAATTGTATAATCTGTTTACAATAGGTTGTACTTTGGCTCTTTATTATAGTATTACGTGGGTATTACACATTTGTATGTAGCCCATTATTGTTGGAAAATTGAGAATATTGTTGCCATAATGAAAAAAAAAAACCTGGATTCAAACGATATTATGCGGAAATTCATGTAGGTTGGGTATTTTTAAGATTGGGTAGAAAAAATCTTAGCATTACGATTAATATTATGATGTAATAATAATTTGTTGATGTTGAACAAATGTTGGAAGAGTGAAGGATGTAATCCGAGTCAGGGAATTTCTTATTAAAGGTTTAATAAAATTTCAATAGCGCCGATGAAAGTCCCATTAGAATTAACGAAAAATATTCAATAATAACAATGGTGAGGAATATTTGTTATTAAGTAATGTCGATCATCGTCTTATTGCTCTAGTGCTGAACGATAAGGTTATGGTCAGGAATTATAGATTTGTGCAAAAATTAGGTGAGAATTCTCACTGAGGCCTTGTCGGGGTATTGCAGACTTAAAGGACAAGATAGTAAGTTGAGCCTGGAAAGCGAATATCCTAAAGATTATGTGGAGAAAATGAGAAGACTTTAGTTTATCTTCTGAGAAAATCTGATACCGTCGTTCGTGGGACAATTCAAATACTGGGGAAATTTGCTCTTATGACGAGGTATATCTCACACTTACAGGCACAATTGATACCTACCAGTGGTCGCAGTGCACTGTCATTTCGGATTTACAAATCTACAATATTCACAATGTGGAAGCGTTTGCGTGAAATAGAATCCATATTTTCATATGCTTTTTCATATTAATATTTTAGTTTTCTAATTTATGGAAAAATTCAAATTCTCTGTCTCTTTTGTTATATTGTACGAGACAACATTTTCCTGACACAATCCTATTTCATATTTGAAACTATAGCATATTGAATAACTGCATTGAAAATTCTTCAAGTGTGGCAACAATAAAATTTAATAATAGATTACGTTAAAGATAAAAAAATATTTTTCAATTCAAGGAAGTGTTAAATTCGATTAAAATTATTTCGTAAAATTTTTAAGAGAGAAAAAAAAAACAGCAAAATAAAATAAAAATTTAAAACAAAGAAAATATTTCTTTCTCTTTCCAATTTTACTCGACTGTAAGGTGAACGTGTTAAAAATTAACAAGGAAATACCAAAGAAAATAAAAAGGGAAAAACTCTAAAACAGCAGAAGGATATTCTAACTCAATTTATATAAAAGCACGCGTTAAACGAATCAGCAATTTTTTTTGTTTTTTCAAATTCTATTCAATTTAGATTGTCCTTGAAGTAATAAATCTAACAATGAAATTTATCTGCGATGTCACAAATTTTCAACATTATTTTTATTTTTAATAAAAAAATTTATTGTTTTTTTTTTTAAATTAAAAACAATTTTAATGTTTGTTCTCAAGAAAAATAGGATTTTTAAATTGTTTTGTAGTTTTAAGCTAAAATTAAAGCAGATCAAAGTTATTATAAGGGTTACTTGTAAAATCAATAAGTATTCTGCTAAAATGAGATTGAAATCTTAATTAAATTTTAATTGATTTGAGTCTGTAGAATTGCTTGTTTCCAGTATCGTAATTTCCCTTTTCATTTCATAAATTAATTCAGTACTTTACTGTATAAATTGCGTCCCTCGCAGACGAGGCATATTTTCATATTTTATTAATTTCTACAGAGCGTACCGCACATATTTTATAGTGGTACTGTTGAAATTAATAAAATATAATATGGAATGTATATTATCACTCTGTAAATAAGCCTGTATGTAATACAGTTTTCGGCAGAATATTCTCATTGCTAAGTTTCAGAAAGAAATGATCATTTACCGGGTAATAAGCATACTTAAGAATTCTTAAGTATATTCGTTTATTATTATGTATGATATGAGTACCTACACAATATTAAATGGTATATAAATCTTATCTTTTTTGTAATCTCAAAAATCTATAAATAAACAAACGTACGTCCGTCCACTTAAGAATTTAATAACTTAAATATAGCTAAATATAGCTATAATATTACAAAATTTATTACACACTATACTTTCTGATCTTATCAATTCAAGAGTGGATTTATTTTTTCAAGTGGTCTACTAAAGAATTTCTATTTTTAATGTAAACCACTTGTGATTTTTCGTACAAGAGTGGAGGAGCTTTATTTAGAATTTCTTTTTAAAAAATTTTAATATTTTTATTAATTTTTTTTTATTGTCTTTGTAGAATTTTCCTGAAATTCCCTTGATTTCTGTAACAGAAGAAAATGTAATCTTGCATTCAAAAAGTTCGGATTGTGTTGCTGTACGTTATTAAATTTATTGAGATTTCTATAACACTTTAAATCTCATTGGTATATTCCTTCTAACAAAATTTTAAATTTAAAAATTTTTGCTATTTGAATTTTGTAATATATAAAAATTAGTTATTCGGCAACTGGTTCACTTTAATCCTGTGATTATTCCTATAACACTTAGTATTTTCTTATTAACCACGTCTAGAAAATTTCTTACTGTATGATTTTTACAATATAAAGATTTTCTCTTTAGCTCCACAATGTTAACTGCGGAGATGCTAGGGATGGATATAAACTAGGTTCGCATTATTGCGAATTTTTATTGGACATTGCCAGTAAAGTATCACCTGTATTAGCTGTGGAAATCGGACTCCCTCTTATGTGAATTTTATGGATGACGTGACCGCCGCACACATTCTTATACAGGGTTTTCCTGAGCTTTCGGGAACCGCTGTTATAATTTTTTTGCGGATATCTCCAGTTTTATACTTCGGACAGGGATTTTATAGGCTGCAATAAGTCGCGAATGGCACCGGTTGTTGGGGGGATATATCCTTTCATCCCATCCGATTTCCTTGGAATCTATTAATTTACAACATAAGAGTAAGCAAGCACTATTATTACGATCTTTTTTAAAGAAATCACTCCTAGTTATTAGAACAGCATTTAAAATAAATGTTTGCTAAACTGACCTTCAACTACTAAAATTTCTATACGTTCAATATGCTATTCTCGTAAAACTTTAAAATCTAATTCAATGAAAATATTTCTAATATTTTCCTGATAAAATAAAAAGTGTCAGATGTGACTTTAACCTTAACAAAAGTTTCTAACCTATTTTATTGCGTAATTTTGATAAAATATAATTATACAAAAAAAATTTACAATCAAACATACATTCACACATTAAAGCAATGTTCGAACGCTTATCGTATAATGTTATTTATGACGGTAAACTTTAGCACTAATATGCTGGAGAGAAAATAAACATTAAAAACGCTTTAAACTCATTTTATCTTTATCCATTTTCAAAAATCGTAGGTATTAATTTGTTATCAATTCAAATATTTTCAAGCACAACAAAACTACCGTGGCTATAAAAGGCTGAATTAAATTATTTAAACTTTTATTAGCTAAAATTAAAATGATTCGGTTAAACGTTTTATTAGCAGTAGTCGCGCTTCTGTTTTTAACAGGTAAAATTATAAAAAAAAAAATAGAAAAATAAAAAAACTGAAACGGAAATCGCAAAATTCTCGGAAAACAAAATCACAACTTGTTCTAATCAATTTGAAATTTGTTATCAGCTAATTCGAATGTGTTATCAATTTGTATGTGATTTGAAAATTCTTGCGTTTAGTGTTTTATTACAAGCTCTTTATCTTTTAAATCTGTTAAGTGATAAGAACGTTATTATTAAGTGATTTTACGTGTCAATTTATTAAGAGTGTCTATATCTAATGTGATTTGTTTTATTGTACATAATATCGATAAAATTAAACATGGGGAATTTTTGAGAATGAATAAAGAACAATTTTGCAGTCAGGACGGCAAAATCAAAGATAAAGGGCAAATTTACGATATTGTTAACCAGTAATGCGCCTAATTTATCTGGGAATTTTAGTGACTAATTAATTTGGAACAGTTAACAATATTTAATTAATGAAAATGCCAGAAATCGGAATGTTGTATTATCGGCGCTGTTAAAATATCACAAATTGTTACAAAACTGGTAACTTTTAAAGTGAAAAAATCCCCAATAGTGTCACAATCATGTTTTGGGACGTCTGTTTTTAAATTTACTAATCCCTTCAGTTGCATTATTTTTAAAAGGCATAAAGTGCTGTTGTCGTTTTTTAATACTAAGACTTCGTAATTATGTACTCCATGTTTATCTTAAGTAACAGCATGAAGTTTTTAAAATTATGTGAGTTTAAAATTAACCATATAAATATTTTAGTTAAAACTAAGTTTAACATTGAAATTCTTTAAAATATCATTGAAAATAACAGAACACGTATATTGAGGTCTTCATAGCCTTGACATGATTTTTTTTATTATTTGCACGTAAATTTAAAAGTACACTATTATTGTGATAAGAAATTACTAGGGGGAAAGATTAATTTAAAGATTAACACACAAACTTATTTTACTATTGATGGAATTGCATTGATTAGTGTGTATAGAGTTGCCAAAACAGCCAAGTTGCTGTTGAAGTTGCTGTTGAATAATTAATTCTTCAAAATGCTTGACTATACGTTGGCTTTTTAAAATCTTATACAGAAATTCAATTATATTAAAAATCTTTTCATAATTTTCTGATATTTTCAGTTGATGCAAAAAAAGGTTTTGGTCCCGGTGAACAAGATTGGGGTCATATAACAGTACGTCCTGGTGCTCATATGTTCTATTGGTTATATTATACAACAGCAAATGTTAAAAATTATACTGAACGTCCACTTGCAATATGGTTACAAGGTGGTCCAGGTGCATCATCAACTGGTTATGGTAATTTTGAAGAATTAGGACCATTGGATTTAGAATTGAATTATCGTAATTATACATGGGTTAAGGATATGAATGTTTTATTTATTGATAATCCAGTTGGTAGCGGTTTCAGTTATGTTGAAAATACAAATTTATTAACTAGAACTAATAATGAAATTGCATTGGATTTAGTTGCATTAATGAAAGGTTTTTATAAAAAACATCCTGAATTTAAAAAAGTTCCATTACATATATTTTGTGAAAGTTATGGTGGTAAAATGGCACCAGAATTTGCATTAGAATTATATGAAGCAATAAAACGTGGTGAAATTGAATCAAATTTAAAATCAGTTGCATTAGGTGATCCATGGACATCACCAATGGATTCAGTATGGGCATGGGGTCCATTTTTATTACAAACTGTAATTATATGAAATTTTATAATTTTAAATGTGCCTATTAATTTTATTTTATTTGTTTTTTGTGTGTGTTAAGGCTATGGTTGATCAACATGGTTATGAAGAAATTCAAGCAGCTGCAGCTGATTGTGCAAATTCAATTAAAAATGAACGATGGGTTGAAGCAACAAATAAATGGGGTGCAACACAAAGAGTTGTAATGTGGGAAAGTCATTATGTTGATTTTTATAATATCTTAAAGAAAATACAAGGTGGTTATAATGCAATGAATTTAAGAAATGATGGTAAGCAAACAATCACACATTTGTATATATTTTGTTGAAATTTTTAATCAATAACATTCTTGGTCTTGGATAGATTTAATGTATCGGACCTTGGTTGATTATGATTTGATTGGAGATCGAAAATATTCATTAGATGAATTAATGAAAGGACCAGTTTCAGAAACTTTGGGTATTACTAAAAATGTACGATGGGGTAGTCAAAGTAGTGTTACATTTAGTGCATTATCTGGTGATTTTATGAAACCAGTTTATCATATTGGTATAGTGAATTTTTTCGTACACAAAATATCCTTTTTTTTATTCTTATATAATTTTAGTTGAAAAACTTTTGAATTCAACTGATGTTCAAGTTGGTGTATTTTCTGGTCAATTAGATTTAATATGTGCTACTTCAGGCACTGTTAATTGGATTGATAAAATGCGTTGGAATTATCGTAATGATTATTTAAATGCACCACGTAAAGCCATAAGTGTTAATGGTATTATTGAAGGTTATACTAAAGAAGCTGGTAATTTTTCAATGCATTGGATTAATCGGGCTGGTCATATGGCACCAGCTGATAATCCAGCCGGTATGAGTTATGTATTACAAAAATATACAAATTTTGGTGGAATGTAAATGAAAATATAAATGATATTCGCTTAAATACAATTGAATAAGAATGAATTAAAATAGTCTATTGAATGTTATGAATGTTTCTTTCCGACTGGTTCTATTTCTAAAAATTTAATTGAATTAAACAAATTCTAATTTAATATTCTTCTCAGTTCATCTACTTAATTCCAAAATTCAATTTAAATTGAACCCGATTAATTTTAAGATTTTTTAGTCAATTTAGAAATTATTGAAAATTTCTTAATATTTTTTCTTTATATTTTTAATTTAGTGGTTTAATATTTTTTTGTTCCAATCGAAAAGGGCTTATACCTTTTTCTAATCTACTCAGATCATAAATTAACCAAATAAATTAAACCCTTTATTATTGATATTAAACGAAAAGAAAAGAAGACCCGTAATAAATTTAATTTTTGCTGATTTTATACAAAAATCATGGGAAAAAAAAAATCGAAACGAAAATCCTTTTAACTTTATTATAGCAATTGAATTCTTTGACTTTCCTTAAATTTCAAATGTATAACGATGCAAAGGTAAATTCAAGATAGAAAAAAATAGAAAAAAAAAGAAAAACAAAAATTCTTAGATCAAAATAGTTTATTGATTTCCGGATTAATAAAATTTTCCCTTTTTCGGTCCAGAAATTATGAAAAAAAGCAAAAAATTTATTAAATATCCTTTTTCTTCTTATAGCGTTTACCTTAATTTTTTCTAAGAATTTAAGGGAAATAAATTAATGATTTTGAAAAAATGTCAATGTGTCTTAAGGATTGAAATAAATATTTTGGTTTTAAAATAAATAAAGTGGAACTGTTATCATAAATTAAGTTAATCTTGACGTAGAATAAATTGTTAGGAATCATTGTTCCGCACATATTATTAGTATATTATTAAAACTTATCTGCTTAGTGTCTTCAGAAAAGTCAAATTGATAAATTATAAACAAATCTTGATAAATATTTTTAATATGGAAAATTTCTCTATTATATGCTTTTAATAAGAGTTAATAGTAAGAAAGGAATGCGATTCTATTCCAATACCATTCCCGTAATATTATGCTGCATTTTACCTATCGAACATGTATGTTAGTTACAAACAGCTTTATTATCGGATTGTCTATAATGTTACCCAAATTCTTCAATTGAATTCCTTCAAATAAATTTTTTACTTTTAAATACAGCTACCAACACCATTTACCTTACTGTCATTATGAACACAATACTGTATACCGAAAGAAGAGAACTGAAAGAGACGTAATTTAAAATCAACTAGATTGCTAGTAGAATTCTAGTAAAATAAAATTCTGTTTTGAATTGTTGTGAAACTAAATTGCTGGAATTTTTATCGTTTTAACTATGATCTCAGGTATTATGAATGAACTAAAGAAATGGGACTGCATTTTCAGTTATTTCGTACTCTCTTAGCGTAATAATTGAGAGTTTTTTTTTTTTTTTTTTTTTTTTTTTTTTTTAGATTTATTTATTAGTTATGATAACTTTTTATAAAACATTCGTTATATGTACATTCAATATACTATTCTATATCAAATCAACTGTAAATAAAAATTATCTATCTGTAAAAATTTAACAATTCAAAATTTTATAATAAATTTGAAAATTCAATTACTATATAGAATTAATATATACATAAGAGATCTACTAATTACAGAAATACAAAGAAAGTACATAAAGTTAAGAAATGCAAAAATCAACAGAATTTAATAATACTTTTTTTAAATGTGGCAAAATTGTTTTCATTTTTCATCAGTACTGGTAAAGAGTTAAATAATTTAGTAGCTTTGTATAATAATGTGTTCTGCGAGCTAGTTCTTTTGTAAAGTGGCAGTCTGAAATCACCAACGTTTCGCAAATTGTAATTTCCTCCGACGTAGTTCAAATTTCTTTGCAAATATTCAGGTAGTAGACCATATTTAATTTTAAAAATGAACACCAATGCATTAAAATTTAACCTTTGGTTTATATTCATCCACTTCAGTTTTAAAAGCATACTTGCAATGCTGGTTCTCTTGTTAACTTTTAAAATGATTCTCATTGCTCTGTTTTGAAGTTTTTGTAATTTGTTCCTCTTTTCTTCACTACATATAAATAGAATAGATGAACAATAGTCTATATGTGGAAGAATTAGACTATTGTACAACATTACAGCACATTTTTCAGATACCGATTTTCTAATCCTCGCCAGGAAACCAATTTTCTTGGATATTTTCCCACGAATGTAGTCTGTATGCTCATCGAACTTCAATTTGTTATCAACAAAAACTCCTAAGTACTTTATACTTTGAACAGATTCTATTTCTACATTATCCACTTTAAACGCAATGTTTCTGTTTCCACCATTTACACACATAACTTTTGTTTTACTGGTGTTCAGCATTAATTTATTCCTACACAGCCACTTATGTACATTATCCATATCAGAATTTATTTGCTGTTCAATTATATCGGCGTTTTTCCCAACAATATAAGTCAATGTGTCGTCTGCAAACAAACATACTTTTGAATGAATTAACACATTTTGTATGTCATTTATGTATAATAAAAATAAGACTACACCCAAAATAGTTCCTTGAGGAACTCCTAGGTCTAGAAATCTAGCCTCAGAGTATACATCTTTTAACTTCGTTCTTTGAGATCTGCTACTTAGGTATGATGAGAACCAGCTTAATTCTTTGTTTCGAATCCCATACGACTTTAATTTACTAATCAATATTTCTCTGCTGATGGTTTCAAAAGCCCTTTTCAAGTCTAAAAAAACAGCTACTATCATTTTTCCACCATCAGTTTCCTTTCTCCACTCATTCAAGACCCAAGTCAAAGAAGTTTCCGTAGAGTGCGCTTTTCTAAAACCAGATTGTTCTTTACATAATATTTCATTTCTCTCCAAAAAATTCTCCAACTGATTACACACAACTTTCTCCAAAACTTTTTCAAAGAGTGGCATCATATTTATCGGTCGCATATTATCCGCACTTTTAGCGTTTTTAACTTTGTTTACTGGTACCACCACAGACTCTTTCCAAGCTTCAGGAAATTTACCATCTTCAAACGATTTGTTAATTATTTGTACAAGAATTGGAAGAAAAACTTCTTTGCAATCTAATAATATTTTGGAATTGAGGCCATTGAAATCATTTTTATTATTCATTACTTTTATTATATTGAGTAATTCATTAATATTAATTTTCTTGAAAGTAAAGCAATTATTTACCGGAGTAATATTATCAGTGTAGTTCATCATAGGAATCTGTTTATTAATTTTTTTAATACTCTCTATAAAATATTCATTTAAAGAATTTACTATTTCTAATCTGTTACTTATTTTTTTATTATTTATTTCTAATTCAGATATATAATATTCATCTTTCAAGAGTACATATTTCTTTATAGTTCTCCACATTTCTTTGGGATTCCCCACTTTACTTTCAATTTTAGTTTCAATATATTTGTTCTTTGCTTCTTGACATTTTTTTTTATATTCATTTCTAATTTTTGTGTATTGTTTCCAACTATCATGACTTTGTAGCATAGTGTGCCTGCTTCTCAAATGAATCTTATTTAACTTGATGGTATTTAATTCCTCATTGAACCATTCAGCTTTATTATTCCTTACCGTTATAGATTTTGTTAATTTTTGGATTGAGTGTTTGATTGCATTTTCTAAATTTAGAACACAACTATTTAAATCTTCTATGTTTGCTGTGATATTTATATTATTTTCATTAAACGCATTTAAAAATATTTCTTTGTCATATTTTACATATGTTATACGCTCTGGGGTTTTCTTATTAGATTCAATAATTACATTGATGCTTATCGTTTCATGGTCCGTGATATTTAGATCCTTATTAATTCTCGCTTCAATCTTTGGGAACTGATTAACTAGAACATAATCTATCAATGTACCCGATACGTTTGTTACTCTAGTGGGTTCATTTATTAATTGTTTTAGCCCATAATCTTTTAGAAGCTGCTCTATTTGTCTTTTTGCAGCACTATTACACAAATAATCCAAATTGAAATCACCCGCAATACAATAATTTTCAGCAAAGTTCATGTTATTTTCTAAGTAATTTGTTAATTCTACAATAAAGTCATTGTAACACATTACATTCGATCTATATAAAGCTAGTATATTCAAACTTTTCCTATCTATTATTAGCTTAATGCTTAGAATCCATAGTTTATTATTAATTGCTATTTTTTTAATTTCTACTGCCTTTATTTTCTTTGATACATAAATTGAAACACCACCTGTGTGCCTGGAGTTAGAAAAACAATGCAAATCATTGAAGCCTTTAATTTTGAATTGATTTATTTGCATACTTCCTACATTCATATCTTCCGTTATATGGGTCTCACTTAAAATTACGAAATCGGACTTGCATTTGCACACCAGCTCTTCTAACGCAGCGAAGTTAGATGTTAATCCCTGGATATTCAAGTATACTCCATTTATCATATCTTCAGCTCTATATTTTGATTGCTATAAAAACATTCTTTTCCTTTCGACTTCAATTTTCCTACATAATGTAGGACAACTTCTATCAAAAACCTTGTGATCTACCTCTACTTCAATTTTTAAATTCTGCCTAGTCCTTATACAATTGATACATTTATAGGTATCACTCTTACAATTTGTCACTAAGTGATCACCTCCGCATTTCAAACAAACAACTCCTAGTATTTTGCAGTTTTGTTTATTATGGCCGAATGCTAAACATTTGAAGCATCTCCTTACATCAAAATTTTCATAGATCCTACATCTATCCCAACTAATTCTTAATTTACCTATATCTAACAGATTTTTGTAATCATCTACGTGAAACTCTATTATAGCTTTGAAACTATTATTTGATTTATACGATCGTATAAACCTAACATCTTGTGTATGCTTTATATCATTTTGCTTATTAATAAATTCAATCAACTTTTCTTTACTATGCTCTTCTGACATTCCTACTACTAAGATTTTAGGTTTTTTCTCTTTTGGTAACATTATTTCATAATTTTCTTTTAAATTTTTTTCCGCTTCAATTTTAA